TTAGGTTTCTTATCTCCCAGAATACAGTTTTTAGGTTTCTTATCTCCCAGAATACAGTTTTTAGGTTTCTTATCTCCCAGAATACAGTTTTTAGGTTTCTTATCTCCCAGAATACAGTTTTTAGGTTTCTTATCTCCCAGAATACAGTTTTTAGGTTTCTTATCTCCCAGAATACAGTTTTTAGGTTTCTTATCTCCCAGAATACAGTTTTTAGGTTTCTTATCTCCCAGAATACAGTTTTTAGGTTTCTTATCTCCCAGAATACAGTTTTTAGGTTTCTTATCTCCCAGAATACAGTTTTTAGGTTTCTTATCTCCCAGAATACAGTTTTTAGGTTTCTTATCTCCCAGAATACAGTTTTTAGGTTTCTTATCTCCCAGAATTCAGTTTTTAGGTTTCTTATCTCCCAGAATACAGTTTTCATTTTCGTTTTTCACAGAATAAAGTTTTTAATGTTTTTAGTTCACAGTCAATCCCTGGCGGAGCCGGACTGTTTTTTTTTCAAAGATGACCTTACCTAGAAGGTCGACCCAGCCTTAAGTGGGTACCGGGTGCAAAAGCGGCCAGCGTGATCCCAACCACATCACCCATCAAGCGCTGTTATTTTTTTTTTAAATATTGGTCTAGCCCTATATGCCCTATACGCCTAAAGGCGTGGAAACGTGTCCTTTACTCTACTTTACTTCACCTATTTCACGTAATACAATTGTAAATGTTCAAAGTTCACAGAATATAGTTTTTAATGCTCCTAGTTTACAGAATACAATTGTAAATGTTCAAAGTTCACAGAATACAGTTTTTAATGTTCCTAGTTTACAGAATACAATTGTAAATGTTCAAAGTTCACAGAATACAGTTTTTAATGTTCCTAGTTTACAGAATACAATTGTAAATGTTCAAAGTTCACAGAATATAGTTTTTAATGCTCCTAGTTTACAGAATACAATTGTAAATGTTCAAAGTTCACAGAATACAGTTTTTAATGTTCCTAGTTTACAGAATACAATTGTAAATGTTCAAAGTTCACAGAATACAGTTTTTAATGTTCCTAGTTCACAGAATACAGTTTTTAATGTTCCTAGTTCACAGAATACAGTTTTTAATGTTCAAAGTTCACAGAATATAGTTTTTAATGTTCCTAGTTCACAGAATACAGTTTTAAATGTTACTAGATCACAGAATACAGTTGTAAAATATGGTTTTACAGTTAGGTGTTGGCAAAGTTACATTAGCGTTTATTTTATCTGCTCTGATAGAGGTTAGATTTTTTATCGATTGTAGATTCAGTGAATAACTGTAATACTAATAATGATGTTAAATCAAATCAATAGAGATATAACCAAAACATCAGTCATTCCTGGTGACTTTATTCCTTTTTTAGAAAGAACATATGCATTGTCATTTGAAGTTAACCGTTTGTCCTCACAGTAAACACAAAAATCTATATTCGCACTGAAAGATTGAAGTTAACCGTTTGTCCTCACAGTAAACACAAAAATCTATATTCGCACTGAAAGATTGAAATTAACCGTTTGTCCTCACAGTATACACATAAATATTCGCACCGAAAGATTGACGTGAACCATTTGTCCTCACCGTATACACATAAATCTATACTTGCACTGAAAGATTGAAGGGAACCGTTTGTTCTCAAAATATGCACATAATACAAAATATTCACACCCTGACGATCGTGTTACTTTTTATACAACCGTGAATGACACCAGGTACCTTCCAATGCTTTCGATTTCATACTCACTGTCGCATAAATGCATTTCGAGACATGCTTGTTAAGGGTAAATTGATATATTCTCACTCACACACACACTCACAAAAGGAAAGGGGGAGGGGTGGGAACGAGCAGAACACATACGGGGAGACGGTAAGACAAACACAGAAGAGCAAATGGGAATTATAGTAACTTTTAACTAATTCAAACTCTCTAGATATGGCGGCGTGCAGATCCAGACATGGTCTAGGATGTTTTTTGAGAATCACAAGGACACCACCCGGCGTACCTCCCTACACGCATATTATAGTTGTCAGAGATCAAGTGTCGTCACCGCAGCAAAGTTTGCTACAGCTTTGATAGTTATCTACAAATCAACTCAAAGACGCAATAATAATAATAATAATAAAATAGTAAATTTTCAGCAATTTCATTATCGCTGTTTATTTTATGATTGGGTGAGTGTGTGTGGATGTGTTTGTGTGTATGTCTGTATGTGTTAACATACACTTAAGCTAATGAAAGTATATCTCTATATATAAAAATAAGAAAGAGGGGGGAAAACACTGTTCTTTAGCGACATAATAAGAAGAGGGACATTGGAGGACAACGTGACAACGGGAAAGATCAGTGGTGGAAAAATGCGTAGATGCAGACCAAGAGAGATGATGCTGGGATGCTGAAACGGTGTCATAAAGGAATATCATCAAGAGAGCTGTTCCAGACATCCGGGGGGTCGTGATCTGTGGAGACGCATGACCGCCTACGCCAGTTGGCAAGGCACACAATGATGATGATGGTGTGTTAACATATCAGTTAACTAAGTATACAGCCTTAATTTTTATATTGTAAAAGTAGAAAGACACTGTCCGACTTAGACAATTACATAAACATTCTATATATTGTGAGCCGATATTCCGTAGTTGTTACACATTCGCCTGTAGATCAGTAGATTTGGGTTTGGGTCCTAACCGAGCCAGACTTTTTTCAGAAATAACCTTGATTCTATGATAGACCCAGCCTTAAATGGATACCTGGTGCAGTCGTGGGAAGTAAAGGCGGCAGGTGTGATACTGATCACGCCACCCACCAAGTGCCGATTGGTATGCACACAATAGATCTAGTCCTATTATTTTTTAAATTTCCGTATTCTTTATGACACGTTGCTGAAGCATGGCCGTCTCCAACTTAAGGGCCGGGCTGCTGACGTCACCTTGTCGGGCTAGCCATGTGTTCACGCAGCGGTCCTCAAACAGGAAATAAACTACTTTTGACAGTGGTAAGGAAAGCCAACTTAAATTTTAACTTGTAAGTATTGTCATGCCTTCTTTGATAATTATACAAATTTTAACTGACATTTCTTGATTATCCCTGACATATGATCTCTAAACCACATGGTGCCTCTGCGCCCAGTTTGAAAACCGTTGCTTTAACGCATCGTTAGCCCGACCCAGTGACGTCAGCAGCATGACCAGTCAGCAGGATCCTGTCGTAGCTGAAGCAACCTGAGCATGTTTTTCCCGTCGGCTGTAGACACCATTGCTGAAACCAACGCACCAAGTACTACCTGACCTTGAAGTCACTAGTTGTGACAGAAAATGTTCCGCACCGGCTAACATATAATTGAATTCAGTGGACCCATAAAAAACAAAAATTAAAAGTGTCTTCTATCCTCACTGAATCAGATTAAATATACATTAAATATACTTGGTGCAAGATCAAAACAGCTAGGTCTTAAAACCAATAAAGGAAAGACATAGATAAAGGGAATACATCAGGGAAATAAAGATGTGCTTTTTCTTAACAGTACCCAACTTCTATACGTGGCTTAGTACACGTTTTTGGGCAGTAATGGGAAACTGATTGAGATATTAAGATACGAATGAATGTCTCATGAACAGTTCACAGATATGGGCTTTCATATGTACTGTTGCGCTCTATACAACGATAAACTTTTAAAATTGTTCTAACAAGCAACCCGTGGTGAAGAGGGTCTAGACAAATGGAAAATCTGTGTTTTTTTCTATGACTCAGGGCTTAGCTATTCAGCGGTTTGTACCCCTCATATCCAGTTACCTGGTCAGCATACAGGTGAAATAATTGAGCTCCAGTGTGCTACTTTGGATGCTCTAATTGAACTACCATTTTACTAGGATTAGGGTCAAATCTAAGAATGTCTCTGGGATAATTGATGTTGCTGTCCTAGAAAACGGTACAGTCCACTTGATTTAGGGGCAACCTATGTGTTTTTGTCAAAGCCAGCTACACCACCAGAGCATATCGCTGCGGTGACTACGAGGGCACAACATAAGAATGCTTTTAAAGATTCCTCTCATGTAAATTCCTTACATGAGGAAAGCAGGGTGACCCTGAATAGCGACCCCACCCTTAAGGCATGCTTTACAAAACTACCTGGTAGTCACACTCGACCAAAGAAAAAAATCCCTTTTCAAGAAATTTAAAATTCTTTATAGAATATGCGGTGAAAAATATACTAAACATAGCCAGTTGGTTATAACAAAATCTTATAGGCCACAAATCATACAGCTGGTAAACACTATTGCTATAGAGACCATATGGAAATCAACGTCACTATACAACGCATTTCTTGCCATTACATTTGGCCTGGTATGACAGCAGAAACAAAGCTTTTTGTAAAATCCTTTCCTGAATGTCAAAGAGTAGCCACTTCGAGTGATAACAAAATGTTCCTCATCGGGTAGCACCTCAGATAGACCACTGCAACAAGGCACACAACACTGACATTGCAATGTATGTGTGTCTTTTATAATTGCGTTTTGATTTTTTACCTAACAATCTTGGTCTTCTTGAAATATTTATTGGAGTTGAGGTAAATCAGAAAGTCTCCAGTACAGTTTAAACACAGTAACGTATCCTGAACACAAAACATTACACTCATAAGATGCAGTCTGTTTTCGGACAGTGTAATCTCCATAGCGTAAATAAGAGAGAACGCCCAGCCGTAGCACACAGTATAGAGGAGACAAATCTTCATTAACGTTCTTGTTGTCTTTGTCATGCCGTGTTTAGTGCTAGATGTGACTCGATGTGAGATCATCAGTTGGCGTCTCTTGGTGATGTGTACAACTTTGAGTCCAATAACAACACAGCCCGCTGTTACCAGACTGATAGAAATGATTCCTGTCATGAAGTTGGCTATCTGCGTTATTTTCTGATACAGTTCGCTTCCGATATGATTTGTAAACACATTATTGTGGAGACTAATGCCCATAATGACGTTATCTAGCACATCGTTCTTTAACGGTGGACTCAACATTTGATGATATAAACAATAGGTTGCAGTCACACACAAAACGCAAGACATAAACATTGCTGTACGCCTGGGAGTTAAGAATAAATGCGCAGTCAATGGGCAAAGTATGGACAACATACGTTCCCCTGTAATTAGAACAGGAATAAGGTATGCCGACAGCACTCCAGCAATATAAGCATAGTCAATTGTCGTGTACACTATATAACACATGTAACTGATACTTTTAGAGAAGTTAACAAAATATCTGAACGTGTATATAAAAAAAACAACGTTGTTGACACCAATCAAAAGTAAAATATCAGAGATAGCCAAAGACAAGAGAAGTATATTGTAACATTTCCGGAATCCCTGTCGAGTCAGTATGACAATGCTGGTCACATTCCCCGATATTCCCAACACGCTGATAAACGGAATAATCACAAAGCGAAGTATCCGAAAAATTGCCCATTGGAGTTCTTCACTAAGAAATCTGGATGAGGAAATGTCTACACTTAATGACAAACTCACTGTCGTGGTCGCTAACATGTTTAGATTTGTACAGAGATACCTGAAAAGAGAAATGGTTTCTTAGACATATCTTTGTGTGGCACTTATCACTAGTTTGCCCACACAGCGAGATTTACTCCCCCTTCTATGTATGCCGTGGCCTATCCCAGGACTCTCCTATGTTTGAGGGGTGTTATTTATTCCTTGTTTTCAACAAATTAATCGTTCTCTCTTTTCTTGTATTGTCATCGCTCACTTGCGTGATTTTTTTCCGACTTGTGCTACTTGCCCGACGATTCATGACTTTCAAAACCGAGATGTTTTTTATTTATACGATCGTTTTCTGTGGTTTCTTTTTTCTGTGGGAAGCCACCACTAAAGAACAAAGAATAAAAAAAAAAAAACTGAATAAATAAATACCAGTTCCGATACTCACGAACAGTCGCGCTTTCGGTACTTTCCCCTGCAGTACTTCTTACTTATACACAAGCACTTTTGGCGCCTCAGAGAAACTCACGACAACACAAACTTTATATATGACATGCGAACACCTAACAAAGCCATCTTATAACACCCCTACAATATAGGACAGGCCATGCGATCGACCTCGGCAGGATTGGGAGGGTAAGAAACTCTCGTCATGCATGCAAGTTCGTGATAAGTTCCCTTTATTTTCTAAATGCCATAGCCTTTTATAATAGTTAGAAACAATAGTCATTCATGGTGCCTGTATTTACACATATTTTTTTTTCCTAGTGAAAAATACAGTTTGTAATTTTATTGAAGTTTCGAATGGCCACAAGACAGGCTATCCCCCGTCATTGACCTAATGCGATAGCACTTTGAGTCAACAGTCGATGACTATCCTATTATACAATACAACTGTATAAATGCGCATATATTGATTAAATAAAAAAAAAAAATTGCAACAAATTGTTGCAATATCTTCCTATGAACGTCCTCTGTGCATGAGAGGCCTGAAAACTAATCACCCCCAACAACGGTAATCACGTGCAACTCGGTTTGCTGACCATAAATTTACATTTTGAATCAGTACTTTAAAAAAAAATTGCAACCAAAAAAGTAAAGTAAACTAGTTCATTTACAGTCCTTATGCACTCTCTATTGTTATTGAAAAACAGTTTATTCCTAAAATGTTTAACAATCAGAGGATGGTTTCACCGCTGGCAAAATAACATACCATTCCTGTGAGAGGTTCTTTTCGTGGTGGTCAACGTTTACCAAGCCTAGCCGAAAACCTGAGCCAGAAAAGACGCACGGGGCTGGAGATATGAATGGGGCAAAGCCCAAGATTGGCTCGTGGTCAGTTGCGTATCAGAAGTCGAAGAAGACAGTTGTCGTATGTTAAGATATAGTTTCAACGTCCAGTAAATGACTAGTGTTGGAATATTGTAGAAGCGATTAGTGATGACTGTGTCCGAATAAATGTCAGAATAAACTGTTAGAATGTATAAAGGAAACTGACAGCCGTTTTGTGTTGTCAATCCTCGACAGTAGTTGAACTGAGCTAAGTTAGGTTAAGTTGAGTCAAGAATTGACCTCACAGCACTCAGGGAATTCCCATGCGTGCTCCCTCCGCATTTTCAGCAGCCAGCGCAGAATTCCAATACTGATGGTACCGGTCACATTCTGGTTATATGTCCGTCTTGCCTCTCCTTTGAGTGTAGTGAGCGGGCCAGATCCACTGGTTACAAGCAGATGCTTCATTCTCTCCAGGCTCCTAGACAGTAGAAGCTGTGCAAGCAGCAATGTGCAAGCGAAGAAGTAGCTTTGTTACAAGTGACCTAGCTTCGTCGCATAAAGAAGTCTTGAGACATTTAACATATTCAGGGCTATAGCGTGGGTTACACGTGATTTATGTATCCGGGAAGTTACTTAAGGGTTTGCAGTGTTACACTCTATGACCCAGAGAATTATGGAGAGATTCAGGCCACAGCATGTGTGGAGAATCTCATGTATCGCACAGCTGATTGCATATCTGATTCAGGAATGGCAGGCTGCTGAAATGCCTAGTTCTCCAAATTCTATTGTGTGAGTTTTATACAGATGGCAGCACACTGCACAACTTACTGCATTTCTGCTTCAGGACGGGCAAGCTGTTGAAATGTCTAGTTGTCCAATATCTATTGTGTGATTTTTGAACAGACAAATAGCACACTTCACAGCTGACTTGTTGCTGCTTCAAACAGGGCAGGCTGTTGATATGTCTAGTAGACCAATATCTAGTGTTTTGGTTTTGTACAGGTTGGTAGCAGCACACTTCTGACTGCATTTAAATCAGTGTTTCAATTTCTTTACATGGCGTGTCAGTGTGTTCGCTAAATGCCGCTTTCAGTAATATTGTTTACGGTTATAGAATATTTCTTTTACGGTTTTAACTAAGATTAATTAAAAGTAGCCCTTGATTTTTAACGAGTAATACACATTTAACAGAAGAGACTTAATTAAATAACCCATCAAACATGACACGATTTCAGTAAGTAAGATTTAAATCAACATGTACTTAAAGAAACTTGAGTGAGAATTAGATCTACATACACATAAAGTAAGCCATAAGCACATACACTTGACATCACTTCAGTAAGAAGGTCTTCTATCTACATACAGTTAAAGATACTTAAATAAGTACGTCTTAGATCTACATACACTTGCAGATATTTCAGTAAGTAAAACTCAGATGTACATACACCTGAAGATACTTCACTAAGGAAGACGTAGATCTTCTCACATGAAGACAGTTAGGTAATGGAGGCTTAGATAGACATACACTATAAGATACTTCAGTAGATAAGACTAAGATCTACATACACTTGCGGAGACTAGAGTAAGTAAGAAGTAGATTAGATTCACTTGAAGGTAATTTAGTAAGACTGTGATCTACACACACTTGAAGATACTTCAGTAGATAAGAGTAAGATATACTTACACTTGTGGAGACTATCGTAAGTAAGAAGAGGATTTATATACACTTTAAAATAACTAAGTAAGACATGCATCTACATACACTTGAAGATACTTCTGTAGATAAGATTAGGATCTATATACGCTTGAATATACTTCAGTAGGCAAGAGTAAGATCTGCATACACTTGTGGAGGCTACAGTAAGTAAGAATTACATTTATATACACTTGAAGATAACTCAGTAGATACGACTAAGATCAACATACCCTTGAAAATACTTGAGAAGATCAGAGTAAGATCTACGTGCACTTCAAGATTGTTGAATAAGTAAGACTTAGAAACTACATACACTTGAAGATAATTCAGTAGGTAAGACTTAGAAACTACATACACTTGAAGATAATTCAGTAGGTAAGACTTAGAAACTACATACACTTGAAGATAATTCAGTAGGTAAGACTTAGAAACTACATACACTTGAAGATAATTCAGTAGGTAAGACTTAGAAACTACATACACTTGAAGATAATTCAGTAGGTAAGACTTAGAAACTACATACACTTGAAGATAATTCAGTAGGTAAGACTTAGAAACTACATACACTTGAAGATAATTCAGTAGGTAAGACTTAGATGTTCTAGGTATCTCGTAAGCTTAATTCCTTTAATGGTAATGTCTTAGTTTTCCATGTGTCCAAATTTGTTTCGTTTTTCAATTCAACCTTTGATTTTTTTTAAATTTAAAATTTTCCTCAAACAGGGAGAGAGTTTTGTTTTAAAATTGATTTATCACACACTTAATCTCAGACGGCAGCCATACATGAAAGAAACGCTTAAAAAAAAAATTAGATTATAAATTTTTCTTGGTTTTAGACCGTCTGTTCTATGTTAATAGTATCAGCTTTTGATGTGGTTATGATTGCTGTATTATCTATGCATTTTTGAAATTACACATTATAGTTGCAGTTTGGAATTTATGTATCGTCCAATAATGCATTTACTTTGTGTCACACTTTCTTTACTGAAATAAAATTGCCTTTCATCATCATTGAAGGTACTTCTGTTTTACATATTATTTTAAAGTCTACGAGAAGTGACCTCTGGGGACGGAGCTTCAGCCAACATGTTTATAGCAACGTTCAATTGTTTTCTTTCAAGTTATGAACTGTTGATCAAAGAGTTGATCGATCTGAGAAATGTCTACATCTAAAAAGAGCTCTATTGCTACTATCCTATTTTAGTGCATAAATCTCTTAGTCACTCTGAATGTATTGTATGTCAATCTGTAAGTCTCTGTTTTCGTGTTTCTCTCTCTCTCTCTCTCTCTCTCTCTCTCTCTCTCTCTCTCTCTCTCTCTCTCTCTATTTTTCCATCTCTCTATCTATCTAACCCTCTGTGTTCTGTGTGAATATCTTTAAGTCTCTGTCTTCGTCTCTCTCTCTGTGTCCATCTCTTTCTCTCTCTATCTAACCCTATGTGTATGGTATGTCTATCGTTAAATCTCTCTCTCTCTCTCTGTCTCTCTCTCTCTATCCATCTCTCTTTATGTGTTTTTTATGTCTATCTTTAAGTTTCTGCCTCTCTCTCTCTTTCTCTCTCTATCAATTTATCTATCTCTCTGTTGAACCGTCTGTGTTCTGTATGTCTATCTTTAAGTTTCTGCCTCTCTCTCTCTCTTTATCTCTCTCTATCCATTAATCTAGCTCCCTGTTGAACCGTCTGTGTTCTGTATGTCTATCTTAAAGTCTCTCCATTTGTCTCTCTCTCCCCCTCTCTGTATCTCTCTCTAAATTTATCCATCTCTGCCTCTATCTAGCTCTCTTTAACAGACACCCACACACATACCAAAATTTATGTCTGAATAAACATATATCTAACAACGTTTTTTGTATTGAAGTCCCCAATTTAGAGTAACTCTTCCACGTTTTTGGAACAGAACGAAGCAAATTCACAAAGAACGCAGTTATTGTATCGCTTGAAATAACAATGAAACATTAAATGTTGTGTAGAACGAAACACAGAAAACCGTAAATTTGACAGAGATCGTTAGTAACAATAACATTTTTTACGGTCTCAGTATCGAAGTGTCTCTGGCTTGTAAATAGGGTGGTGACAAG